TAGTGTCCCATTCCTCTAGTGTCCCATTCCTCTAGTGTCCCATTCCTCTAGTGTCCCATTCCTATTCAGGGTCCCATAAATCTATAGTGTCTCATTACTCAGTAGTGGCCCGGTGTGAATGAAATAAAATGTAATATGGCCCGTTAATACATAGTTTCTAATAATAAATTGCTTTGTATGTATATTGCACTTCTTAGTTTCAACAATAGATGACGCTGTTACACCTGTTCAAACTGGCAGTGACATCTAGTGTTGAAACTACAAAGTGCTGTGCACATAAACGACAGCACATTTACCTCGGCTGATTGAACATGGCGGAAAAGAGGAGAAGAGTGCTGAAGATTTCAGACACCGTGGGGAAGTAAATACTTTTTCGTACTAATGAATAAAGTGGACACTTGGACCATGAACTGTATTCACTGAGAGTTGTGGAGAATATTGGAGACTCCTTGATCTTTTCTCCTGTTTCTATTTTGCTCTGCTTTTCGAATGAGGGTCATATTGTATAAATTTAAAGTCAAACAAAATACAAAAATACCATCTTGTAAGTAGATCAATAAACTATTACAATGTCAACACTTAAACTGTTCAGTAGTGTCATTTAGTTATTTTGATAGAAAATGGATTTTTAATGGTTAGGGTTCCTTTTCAATGTCTTATTAGTCTTTAGCTTCCCATTCCTATATAACAGGGGTTTCCAGACTCTGGGTCCCAGTTACGGTTGGGGTGAGTCGCCGACCGACCATGAAACGCCTAATTTATAATATGGTATAGGGCTACAGGCAGTGCGGGGCGTCTTTACCTATCAAACTACGAACCTTTGCAGGGCACACTGCGAACCCCCGTGTCGATGATTGGTCACTATGCCGTTCTCATGTTGAAACCTCATCGTATTGGATACTTTCTATCCAATCAGAGCGGTGTGTTTCGAGTCGTCATTTTAATTTAGAGGATGTATACAGTCAGCAATTCAGTCAGTATGGTGTTACAGTAAGTAGCCATCAAAATGTACAAACATTAAGAAGATTATATTTCAGTTGGTTTCACTAAAGCCTTGTGAAATAGGGAGAAACATTCTCAATGTATTTTATGTAGGGAGGTACTAAGTAACGAGAGCTTTAAAATGAACAAAATACATTGACATCTAAGCACCCTCATCATAAGGAGAAAGCAAAAGAATGTTTCCAGTTACTGCGAGTGTGCAGAAAGTAAATTCAGGGTTCAGTTAGTGTCAAGGGCACATTGTAGGGCTGCAACTGATGATTATTTTGATAATCGATTAATCGGTCGATTACTTTTTCGATTAATCGGGTGGGGGGGGGACCAATTTGATTTCCAGCATTTTTTAATAATGCAGTCTGTCTTTGTACGAAGGTTGTTTCCAGCAACTCGCATAAAAAACAAATGAATGCTACATTAAGAGTATTAAAAAATTGTAGCAGCTGAATCAATGTAATGAAATACACAAAATCTTGTTTTATGAAGTGCAACCAGCATGATACTTTAGATAATGTATTCAGTACTCCAGTTTTTTAATATAAAAGCACAGACTACCACTGCTGCTACTAAGAATATTATTTCATAATTGTCTAATGTTATTTAATGTTGATGCACATATGTGAAAGGGGGAGAGTGTCTGCATTTATTACGGACAACTAAAGTAAACATTTATTGCGGAGAAAAAGCCTTTTCCGCATTTTACGCTAAAAATGCGCCGGTGTTCTGTCGATATATGCTGTCTTGTCGAAAAATGCTACAGTAGTGCTAATCGATAGCCCTAACCTTAACTCTTACCCTAACCCTAACCCCTCAAAATCCCTAAAACCCTTACCTCAATCCTAACCCTAACCCTAACCCTAACCCCTAAAACCTAACCCTAATCCCAAGACGGTGGAACTGCACAAGCGCAGAAAGGCTCGATAGCACGTCTCGATAGGTAGTATTTTATGACAACAAAGTCGAACAAAATTTTTTTTTTCCTTCTTCTCTAATTTGTTTTGCTTCTGGAATGCTTTTCTTTGCTTTTGAATTTTTTTTTTTTGCTTCTGCAATTTTTTTTTGCTTTTGGAATGCTTTTTTGCGTCTGACTTTTGGCACTGTTTTAACGGGTGGGCGGGCCTTAGCAGCTGACACGTCTATTGGTCAGCTGGAATTTGGAGTGAACACGCCTTTAACCATCTGAGCACGCCCACTCCATGACGCTTCAGAACATCGCAACATGGCGGGAAGCTCCGGAGCCAGTTTACAGCATGGAATCTTTGTAGTTGTATAATAGTGTACTTTTATTAGGAATCGGTGTATGCAACACATATTTCGCGTTCATAAAATGTCACCAACCCATCCAGTTTCGGCAAAGCGAATTTGTCAGATTTAGATTGAAATATGTTTGTTCGTTTCCGAATACTGTCGTGTGATCGGTGTGAAAATGCCTTTAGTGCTAATGTCAATAGCAGTTATAAATACAGTTGGAGTTCAACCTTTAGTATGGGTGGGTGGCAGGTGAGGAAATATACAGGATGTTATAATTGTTCTGTGTTGTCAATATTTTGTTTTGAATCAAAGATTAATCTGCATTTTCATTGTTATGTAAGATGTTCCATTCTGTCTGTTTTGTTTTTTGAAATATGGAAGAGGGGTTTGTAGAGGGGTGCATTAATTGTCATCTACAGCAATAAAAATAATTTAATTAAAACCTATTTTTAAAAGGAATATATTTCATTGAATACTATTGTTTGTATAATTCAGCTTTTGGTTCTTTGTGTTTTTTAAATCTTTTGTTTTTTGTAAACATGTAAAGGTATTTCATTATGCATTTTGTGTATGGGTTTTGGGTCCCAGACAGATGGCAAATCTCCCTTTTGGGCCCCCAGGTAAATAAAAGTTTGGGAACCCCTGCTCTGTAGTGTTCAACAGTGTTCAATTTGTGCCATAGCTTGCCAGTCAGTTATATTTTGACTACTTTTACATTAAGCTTCTTTTTGAAAAGTTTTTGACTGCGTTTGGGTATTGTAACAGTACAATTGTGTACAAAGCCACGACTGATTCAGATAGTAATGAGATAGCTACCCTGTCATATTATTTGACATCCTGTTTTGTTCAGTAGGTAAAATAATATTTGTGTTTCCTATTTTGCCTGGTAGGTAAAATAATTTTCGTGTTCATGTACAATTTATCTTTTCCAAACACCTTCTGTCAAGAAGTGTATCGATTGGAGAGGAGACTGGCCAATCAGAAATTAGCCATCCGTGTCTCCAATTGGGCAATTTGCACAAAAATCACGATGTGCCAATCTAACTGAGCGTGCAGAGTCGAGCATGCACATAGTGGAGATGTTGAGAGAGCAGAAGAGACGCTGTGAGTAAGTGCACAGGTGTCTGGCACCACGCATGTGCAGTCCGAGTTCAGTGCACACAGAGCAAAGTGAGCGAGCATATGCACGCCGAGTTGATCATGTATCCCACTGTACCATCATGAATGAGGCACAAATATAACACCATAACCGCAATAAAGTTCAAGAAATGTGCAACACAGATGAAAACTTTGATGTAACTAACAGGTGGCAATAGAAAATAGTAATTAGTATCACATTATTAGCGCTGCCTCCTTAGCCCCGCCCCAATCGACGCATCTGTAGTATGGCATGTAGTTTCCAGGTTTAAAAATTGTCAATAAAAAAATTGTAACTTAAAAAAATTTTGGCCGAAAATGTCTTAAGTATATTACTACAAATGTTTCCAGCCATTAAAAAACATTATCCAGCCATAAAATCACTTAAACAAAAACATTAATATTATTTGTTAGCATTGCAATATGGCCGCTAGGGGTACTTCCTATTTGTTTACAGGAATAGCATAACACTCACCACGCAAAGTATGCTGATCTTGGCATTCCTATCTCCATAAGGGTCCAAAGAACGATATCCATCATAGGCCTTTAGTCTAAAAACAAGCTAAAATGCTCAAAAAATGCTGAAAACTACCCTTGTAAATATGGTGTCCGTAACATCATCAGTTTTCACCCATGGATTTCAGCATAAACACTGCACATACGCAATTCACAGCATTCAGTACGTAGTTCTCAGCCAACCGAACAAAATCCGGCCTCATATGGGCTAATTTGTTCGGTCTGCTCTGACTAGCAATGCTTTCCACCTCATAACACGGGGACTACTGACCCCTCTCTTGGCCACCCAGTAAGAGCAAGCTCCTTGAAACAGGAAAAAATTAATAGCTCGGAAAAAGACGAGTTCAGTTCAGTGTATGACATCATCGTGGTCTTTATGAGCTCCGGCACCCCAGAGATTACTAATTAAACACTGTTCCTTTATAATGCCCTATTACTTTATAGTGTCCCAGTCCTCTATAATGTCCAATTCATTTGTAGTGCCTCATTCCTCTATAGTGCCCCATTCCCATTAAAGCATCAATACCAGTGATATATCAATCATCTGATTCAGGTCCCGCCCAATGCCCCCTGTGTCCCACCTTGCTGCCCATGCGTCCCTGTTGCTCTGCAGCCCCCTCCATCCCTCGGGTGTCAGCGTGTCCTGGCTCTTCGGAAGGAGCTCTGCCCTTCCGCGTAGGCCGACGGGTGCTCTGCAACACACGAGGAAGTCCTGTCCAGCTATGGTGACCTAAGTGGCACTGCCCTTGCCTAACACCAGCATGGCATGTGTACACGTGTTCATGTGTATTTCTTGGCACTGACCTTCTTGGGAATGATATCTTGCTCATTATTGCGTTCATCATTTCCATGGGCATCCACCTCACTGCCCTGCAACAGACGGAGTTATGCAGTTACGCACACACCAGCACCACACACCAACACAACTAGTGTTATGCACCAGCATCACACACCAGTATTATGCACAAGTGTCACACACCAGCACCACACACCAACCTTATGCACCAACATTACACAACTAGTGTTATGCACCAGTGTCACGCACCAGCGTTATGCACCAGTGTCACGCACCAGTATTCTACACCAGTGTCACGTACCATTAAAGAGCTATGCAGTGCAGCACAGGTAGACTGTGCTGTCAAATATGTGGTGTGTTTTGGACAGGTTACACTCACCTGGCCTTTCTTGTGCTTCTCTCCCCCCAGAACATGCCTCCGCAGCACCTCCGAGTGCCCCGTGTCCAGCACGGGGGTCAGAAGGGCCTCCTGAAAAACACGAGACTGGCCCTGCTCACACGCCGGTGCTGTTGCAGATTCGGTCCCTTGCCGGTCCTGAGCGGAATCCGGGACAGAGTACTCCGGCATGTATGGCTGAAAGGCAGGGCTGGTCAGCCTGAGAAGAGTGGAAGGAAGGGGGTGTGCTCTGAGCGAATGACTAACAGAGTGGATGGAGGAGAGGCAGGAATGCCAGCAGGTCAGAGCTTATTCACCTGTCTCCCACCCTCTGTGCTCCGTAGCTCAGCCCGGATGCCTCCCCCAGCTGGGCGAAGCCCTGCTGTTGTCCTGAAACGAGACATACCCCGTCTTCTGAACCTGGCTCTCCATCTGTGCCCTGCTCTCCTCTTCCACCTCCGCCTGACACGCTGCTGCTTGCTGCCGTCCCCACCTTCACCTTCCTGACCTCTGACCTCTGACCTCCAACCAGCCCATTGAAGTTGACCTCTGGCATCTTTCCCCGCAGCTCGGCCTCTTCCTCCTCCTCTTCCTCCTCGAGCTCCATGAGTGAGCTGCTGAGGCCGCTGGCCCCGCTGCCTGGCCGGCCCAGGCTGCTGCAGGGCAGGCTGAGCACGCCTTCTGACTCGTCCGCATTGCTGCACTCCAGCGAGGAGTCGTCCACGGCTGGAAGCCCCGCCCCCGCCCCTACGCCTGAGGGCCATGCCTGCGCATCTGACAGCTCAGCCAGTGTGTCCTCCTCCGTGGTGGCCATGGGGGCGCGCTCTAAGCTGGAGACTTCCTGCCAGTCGGGCTCGACGCCCAGGGGGGAGGGCAAGCTGTACTGCATGGAGGCCGGAGACAGGAGCTCCTCCTGGACCAGCCCATAACCTGGAAACAGTGAGACACATACAGGTACTCTGACACCTCACACCCCCACTGGGGGGGGCACCGGGGGTGGGGCCAAGGCATGACCCACTGAATCTAGTAGATTCCACTGTCTCTAATACTGTAGGTGGGGGCTTCGTGCTCTCAAGGGGGTACAGGGTGAGCTTCGGGGTGGGATTTGCAAGCCAAACATTCAGTGTCAGCCATAGAAGCAGCGTCAGAAGCAGTAGGGCATTCATCGGGAGAGATGGAGCCTCATAGCTTAGTACCTGATACATGGGTAACGGATAACTGGTTCATGGGTAACTGATACCGCGTACACAGCTAAATAACACCTGCCAGAGGTAACTGATACCTGCTTCATGGGTAACTGCTACTTAGTCCTGCTTCACAGGTAACTGATACCTGAGACACAAATCCGCTTCACAGGTAACTGATACCTGACAAAGGTAACCGATACCTCATATACAGGTAACTGAAACAGGTAGCTGATACCTTCTTCATGGGTATCTGACAGCCCATACACAGGTAGCTGATACCTGACACACAGTTCCGCTTCACAGGTAATGGATACTTCATACACAGGTAGCTGATACCTGACACACAGCACTGCTGCACAGCCAAATGATACCTGACACACAGCACTGCTGCACAGCCAAATGATACCTGACACACAGCACTGCTGCACAGCCAAATGATACCTGACACACAGTTCTGCTTAACAGGTAACTGATACCTGACAAAAGTAACTGATACTTCAAACATAGATAACTGATGCCAGACACAGTGCTGCTTTACAGGTAACAGATATCTGACACACAGTTCTGCTCAGGGGCGGACTGGCAATCTGTGCATTCTGGAAAAGTCCAGAACGGCCGTCTGATCCATGGCCGTCGGCCTGCCTTTCCTCTTAAATGGGAAATCAGCTAACAGCAGATGGCGCTAATACGATCATTTGTCCGGTGACATCCATCATTAAAAGCCAACAAAAAAGAGCGAATCATAAGTTGCAGCTGCGGGAATGATGGCAAGTCGAAAACGTAAGGAGAAAGGAGGATGGGAAAAGTCAAAAGAAAAGAAAGCCAAGTCTCTCGAAAATGATGAGTCAAAATTGGCTGCAGTTTAACTGCCAGCAGCAGCAGTAATGTAGATCAAAACGCTAAATCACCCAGCAAGAGTGTTGAAGACCAGGTGAAAGTTGAACCTGTTGAGCATCCACAGACTGGTCACAAGGGACAGACAGCAGAGGAAATTTCATGGGAGGAAGAGGTACTGGTAAGTGGCCTCAACATAAAACAACAGGCCTATTCTACATTTATTCTTATAGTCATCCAGTCAGCATCTATTAACTGGACTTGCATGATGATGAAAAATATATTTTATATAAAAAATATAGACGCTCTAAAAATTAATTGCGAGATGGCTGTGATGTTATCTTGTCAGTAGTAAGGTCATCTCTGCAGCTAGACAGAAGACCATGGTATTGAAAGAAACTGGAAAACAAACCATCCACTCCTAACACTCGTGACATGCTAAAAGGGAAAGAGGGCTAAATAAAGCTCTATGTTAAACCAAAAATTTGGGGAGGGAAAATCTCATTGTTTTCCATTTAAGTGCAATTTGTTTCTGTCTTTCTGTGGTGGGCTATTGTGGAACTGACACTTAACATACAAATCTGGGGTTTGTCTAAAGCTTGATTAGTATTAGCTGGTGGGCCTATTTGGGAGCTGTTTTTTAGTCCCAGTCCGACCCTGGTTCTGTTTCACAGGTAACTGATACCTGACAATGGTAACTGATACCTCACACACAGCACTGCTTCACAGCTAAATGATACCTGAAACACAGTGCCTCTTCAGAGGTAACTAATACCTGACTTACAGTTCTGCTTCACAAGTAACTGATACTTGATACACAGTGCTGCTTCACAGGTAACAGATACCTGACACACAGTTCTGCTTCACAGGTAACTGAAACCTGACACATGGCCCTGCTTCACAGCCAAATGATACCCGAATCAGAGCATTGTTTCACAAATGACTAATACCTGACAAATATTTCCGTTAATGTAAGGAACATTAATACCTGTTTTGAAAATTTGTAACACCTGTCAGTTCATGGTATTGCTTCCACTATTAATACCAAGAGGTTAACCAATTAAAAACAGAAAGGGAGCCAGTACTGAGAGAAGGAATAGCAACTGACAGAACAAACATGGGACAAAGAAAGAGGTCTGCTATATCGGAGGGAGAAATGGCTGGCAGGCAATCAACACTGCCAGAGACAAGAGATGGGCTAAGCGAGGAAGGATGGGCTGATGAAAAGAATGGCCAAGCCTAAGAGAGGGATGAACCAACAAGTAAAGGGGTATGTGAAAAAGAGGAGGAACCACTGATGTAAGTGATAGGCTATGAGAGAGAGGAATGAGAAATGAGAGAGGGATGACTAAGAGAGGGAGGAGTGAGTAATGTAACAGGAATGGGTTGAGAGATGGAGGAGTTAGTAATGAGAAAGGGGTGCACGCACTCAGACACCAACACTGAGACATGTACAAGCTACCTTTTATACTTGTAGTCACATGTAAATATTGCACAGTAATGGAAACGCACACAAACAATAGCCACATAAAAACATTCAGGCAAACACCCAATGTACAAATGCAACAGAAAAAAAGTCAGGTGTGAGCTGACACATGGGAGAGAGGTCACCAGGGGAAGACACACATACCGAAATGGATAGAAACACAGAATGGGCCCCAGATGTTGGGCCAGCCTGATCTCTTCTGATGAAGTAACACATGGGGCAGTGAGGTAAGAGCGCACAGATTGTTAGAAAGAACAGCTGGGAAACGGCACTGTGAAAACCGAAGGACACAGAGAGCACAATGCATGAGTCAGCACACCTTGGAGAAGCCTGTCTAGCAGAACATGCATGTGCTGGGGGAATGAGCACGCCCGAAGTGCGGCGGCATGCGGCATGCGGCATGCAAAGAGCCCAGAGGGCAGAGGAAGAGTCACAGATCGTCACAAGAAGGACAGAAAGTCCCAGACTGGCACCACCAGCTGGGGAAACAGCATGAGGTCGGCATGAGGCCGGAGGTCAGAGGTCAGTGAGGACAGTTGTGGACAGGAAGGTTAGGCGGCTGGGCGGCTGATGGCATATCCAGAGAAACAGAGAGGGGAAGGAAGACGGGCACAGGAACAAGTACTGCAGCATGACAGGACCGCAGGAAGCGGTCTGTTCCTCAACACAGACTGGCACACACACACACATACAGGCACATCCCGCCCATATCCGGAAATGACTGACACAGCACTACCCCTTCTAGGTATAAATATGAGACATTAATAGCTTGTAATAGCTGAAAGTGTAGACAAATATTTGTATTGACAAGCTCCCATTCCGAGTACAGACCTGCTGTGGTTGTCATAACCGCTGATGGTGGGTGGGGCCGTGGGTGAGCATGTCCATGAATAAGGGAGTGGAGCTCTCTCCAAATCTTTATCTTTCAATGAATGAGACCACACTCCTTCCAAACCACATCCATGGCTTCAAACTGACCACAGCCCATCGTTTGTCAGTGGCCTCACAAGCTTGTCTCATTTTCATCACGCCTTTGCTGCACCCCTGCCTGTACTTTCACTGAAAACAGCCTAATCACAGACCCGTAAGTGTGAGATCACAAGGCAACGCATTCCTTCTTTATCACACTGGATCCAGTGCAGGGGTCATTCCTTACTTTTTATCATATTGGACAGGTTTAACACACTGGACTCTGTGGGCGTGTGGGGGGGGGGGGTGGGGGGGGGGGGGGGGAGCTGATTCCTTAGTTTTTCACACTGGATAAAGTAGGGGGGAGGGGGTTGTTCCTCACTGTTTTGTCATACTGAATACTATGTGGGGTGTCATTCATCACCGTTTTATCACACTGTACCCAGTGTGGGGGGGTGTCATTCTTCACTATTTTTTCACACTGAATACAGTGGGGCGGGGGGGAGGGTCATTCCTTACTTTTTTATCACACTGCATACAGTGTGTGTGGTGGTGGGGGGGGGGGGGATTCCTCACTGTTTTTTCATACTGGATACAGAGGGGGGAGGGGGTCATTCCTTACCGTTGATCATAGAGGAGAGCAGGGGTATCTTTCCTTACCATTAGTCACTCGGGGGGACAGGAGGGAGTCACGGTCAGTATTCCGACATGCCCCCTCCTCCAGAACCACCCCAGCCTGCAGAAGCTGATCCTCCAGCGAGTTGACAATGTCGGCCCTGTCGATGCGCCTCAGAGACATATACAGGCTTTCCACTGGGGGAAGACGGGCAGCATACACAATACACACATCAGCCTGCATGTATTTCTGTGTGTGGGAGGGTGACGGGCTGGTTCACAGTTAGGGGAGGTTGTTGGGCAGGCACATTATGGAGGGACACTCACTCTTGGCCCTCTTCCCTTCACGAGCAGCCCACAGGTTGAGTAAGGTGGAGCTTTGATCCAGTAATGAATTAGGATTCTCCACCCGGATCCGATTGATATCGTCCACACTGAACTGCAGCTCCCGTGCCAGTTCTGTACAGACAATTGTTTGGAATGAAACACATGAGAGACATGCATAATCACATTCATAAACACATATCCACTTGCTAGTAAGATTGTGAACTGTCAATGATCCAAAATACATACATTCAGAAGTAAACGTTTAGCTGAACCTAAGATGGTTCCCCCAGCATGAATTTCAAATGAAATACACTCATTAAACACAAACACACACACACAGCCTCACTGACCTGCCCAGCTCAGGCCGAGCTGCTCAGAAATAAGGGTCATCTTTAGCTCTGCCCTCTCCATAGCCTTCATTGAGGCTGCAAGACAAGCACACTGTCAGCCTACAGCAAAGGATATTAGTATTATGCCTGTACTGACACCTTATGTCAGCTCTATCCCTGACACATTTACTGTATTAGGACTGTTATTTGGGAAATATTATGGTATAATATAGACCTAAAACTATATAACCATATATCCACTGCCCAACCCTCTATCAAGTACAAGGTCAAGGTGGCAGCTTCTAAGGCACAAGACAGGGGCCACCCGGAACAGCTCATCGTAGGGTACAAGGCGGGGGACACCCGGAACAGCTCATCGTAGGGCACAAGGCGGGGGGCACCGGGAACAGCCCATCGTAGGGCACAAGACGGGGGACACCGGGAACAGCCCACCACAGGGCACAAGGCGGGGGCCACCCAGAACAGCCCATCGCAGGGCACGAGGTGGGGGCCACCCGGAACAGCCCATCGCAGGGCACAAGACGGGGGCCACCCAGAACAGCCCATCGCAGGGCACGAGGCGGGGGCCACCCAGAACAGCCCATTGCAGGGCACAAGATGGGGGCCACCCGGAACAGCCCATCGCAGGGCACGAGGTGGGGGCCACCCAGAACAGCCCATCGCAGGGCACGAGGCGGGGGACACCAGGAACAGTCCATCGCAGGGCCACCTGGAACAGCTCATCGCAGGGCACAAGGTGGGGGACACCGGGAAAAGCCCATCGCAGGGCACGAGGCGGGGGACACCGGGAACAGCCCATCGCAGGGCACAAGTCAGGGGACACTATGAATGGCTCATCGTGGACCACGAAGTGGAGGATGCCTCAAACGGCCCATCACAGGGAACAAGAGAAGGGGCACTCGATATCTCATTTTGTGGAACAAGGCAGGCGATGCCCTGACTGGCGCATCATGGGGAACAAGGTGGGGGAATATCCTGACCTGCCCATTGTACAGAACAAGGCGTGAGACACTTGACTGCCTATCAGGGGGCACAAAGCAGAATACGGCTCAACTGGCCCATTTTGGGGAACAAGGCAGGGGACAACCCAAACAGTCCATCACAGGGAGGAAGGTGGGGGACTCCCCAAACAGACCATCACAGGGAGGAAGGTGGGGGACTCCCCAAACAGTCCATCACAGGGAGGAAGGTGGGGGACACCCTAAACAGTCCATCACAGTGAGGAAGGTGGGGGACACCCCAAACAGTCCATCACAGGGAGGAAGGTGGGGGACTCCCCAAACAGTCCATCACAGGGAGGATGGTGGGGGACACCCCAAACAGTCCATCACAGGGAGGAAGGTGGGGGACACCCCAAACAGTCCATCACAGGGAGGAAGGTGGGGGACTCCCCAAACAGTCCATCACAGGGAGGAAGGTGGGGGACACCCCAAATGGCTCATTGCAGGGAACGCTCTGAACGGCCCATGAACGAGGTGGAGGATGCCCCAAATGGCCCATCATGGCGGGGGGAGCTCCCTGACTGGCCCACTACAGGGTTCAGACATGCACTATGAACAGTTCAGATGCTGCCTATTTTTGCACTCACAATATCTGCAGGAAAATCAACAGAACATGCAGGGGGATTATATCCCTCTCATTATTTTTTAAAAATATGAAAATGGTGTCAATAATATTGATAAACAATCATCAAAACCGTAAAAATGGAATTCAGCATTTGTATGTTGTGCCAGCATGGCCTGTGTGCTCAGCCTGTGTCGTCTGGCCTGGCTCAGCCCCAGGGTTTTGGTCCTGATCCCGGGTTGCCTTCATGTTAACTGGCCCATCCAGCGTCCTCCTCCATGTAAGTGATGTGCTGCTGAATCAAAACCCCATGGGCTCAGATCCCCGTTGCTACCAACAGCAGAGCTCAGTGAGCAGCTCGCAGCCTGCGACAGTGGACCAGCTCTGCCAGCTTGCTCTGCCCTCAGCATTTCCACTGCCATCACATTGTCTAGCATCCCTGCCCCCGTGTCCTGTGGTAGCAGCAGACCTGAGGGGTTCATGCACACGGTGCATTTCGCTGCGGCCTGCAGGGGGCGCCCTGAGCACCTCCTGCCTCATGCGTGCGCATGGCCAGGTCTCATGCATGAGCACACGCACAGGCAAGGGGTAGAGCCGAGCAGAGCCACCAGCAGGGGGCGTCTTACCGAGGGCCGACTCATTCAGGGCGCTATATCGCTCCCTCAAAGCCAGTGGAGTTAGCGTCCGTCTACGTTCCTCTCCACCTGCAACCTGCCACAGTAAGAGGACAGAGAGGTCATTTAACCTCACATGAACTGATAGGACATAAACATCACTCAGCCTGCCCCATTACACTGCACAGGAAGGTCGCCTAAGAACATAAGAACATAAGATATTTACAAACGAGAGGAGGTCATTCAGCCCATCAAGCTCGTTTGGGGAGAACTTAACTAATAGCTCAGAATTGTTCAAATCTTATCTAGCTCTGATTTAAAGGAGCCCAGGTTTTAGCTTGCACTACTTGAACAGGAAGACTATTCCATACTCTAACTACACGCTGTGTAAAGAAGTGTTTTCTCAAATTCAGTTTAAAATGTTCTCCCGCTAATTTCCACTTATGGCCACGAGTTTAAACTAATATTAAAGTAGCCATTTGGCTGAACAGCATCCAGACCTGTTAGAATCTTATAGACCTGGATCATGTCCCCTCTCCTTTGCTCAAGGCTGAACAGATTCAGCTCAGCTAACCTCTCCTCATAAGACATTCCTCTAAGACCAGGAATCATTCTCGTAGCCCTACGTTGCATGCAAGGCAGCAATGTCCTTTTTAAGGTATGGTGACCAAATCTGCACATAATATGCTAGGTGGGGTCTCACCAAGGAATTGTATAAATGTAACATCACCTCCCTTGACTTAAACTCCACACAGCTAGAGATGTAACCTAACATCCTATTGGATGTGGGCAAGACTGCAATGATCTTCAGTGGCTACCTTGACACAGGGTGGCATGGTGATATTGAGGTTGCACAGGACGTGCTGGCTGTCCTCATACTTGGTGGACTTGCGCAGAAATGTCAGGAATCCAGAAGGCTCTTTAGTGTTGTCTCTCACCTGAGACAGTGGAAGAACCAGGAAGAGGACAGAAGAGAGATGGAGGGGGAGGTAGGGATACGGATCACAGAGGAGAATGGAGAGAAGATGGAGGAGAGAAAAAGAGAGTAGAGGAATCAGAAGGGAGGACGTTAGACCTGCAAAATGAATGCAACAGCAGAACCACAGGGAAAGGAGGGATGAAGGCAGGCGAAAGGCAGGCGAAAGCGAGGCCAAGAGATTTACCTGCACATTTACCTGGTCGTCTGTGAGATCAGACGGTGAGAGAGAGAGAGAGAGACAGTGAGACGGACATACACACGAGCAGGCAGACCCTGGGAAAGTTTAACATGCAGACCAAAAAAAAAACAGTTAAAGTGGAAATATGACGTAAATGTGGTCCTGGGAGGGTAGACTGTGATAAGGCAGTCACAAAAAACAAGGGGAAGACAAGCATGACAAGCACACAGAGCACCAGAGACAGAGATTGTCAGGCAGCGAGTTAGAGTGATAAAGGCACATAGAACCAAACAGGACAGGAAGTGAACCAGATGCTGAAACAGACAGACCAAAAGAAAAGTGACAGTAAGCGTGAAGGACAGGTAGTGAGGTAAATAGAGGTAGGCAGTTTGGATGATGAGTACTGAGGCAGTTGGGGGACAATATGACAGACAGGTACTGAGGCAGTTAGTGTGACAGACGGTTACTGAGGCAGACAAAGTCAGACAGTGACACAAACAGGTGCTGAGGCAAAGCCAGACAGTGTGTCAGATGGGTACTGCGGCAAAGAGATACAGCCAGTGTCACAGACAGGTACTAAGGCCGACAGAGTCAGACAGTGTGTTAGCCAGGTACTGAGGCAATCAGAGTCAGTGTGACAGACGTTTACCGAGGCAGTTAGAGGTGGACATTGTGACACATACTGAGGCAGTCAGAGGTGGACAGTGTGACAGACAGGTACTGAGGAAATCAGAGACAGGGAGTGACACAGACGGCTCCTGAGTCAGTCTATTTGGCAGACAGGTGCTGAGGCAAAGTCCGACAGTGTGACAGATGGTTACTGAGGTATTCAGAGGTGGATACTGTGACAGTCAGGTACTGAGGCAGTCTGTCAGACAGTGTGACAGACAGGTGCTGAGGCAGATTCAGGTAGTGTGATGGGCATTTACCGAGGCAGTCAGAGATGGGCAGTATGACAGACGAGTACTGCAATAGTCAAAGGTAGAGAGTGTGACACACAGGTACTGAAGCAGTCAGAGGTGGACAGTGTGACAGCCTGGTACTGAGGCAGTCAGAGTCAGACAGTTTGACAGACGGCAAAATCAGACTGTGACAGACGTTTACTGAGGCAGTCAGAGGTATACAGTGTGACAGACAGGTACTGAGGCAGTCAGAGTCGGAGAGTGACACAGATGGGTGCTGAGGCACAGAGTTGGACAGTATGTCAGACGTCTACTGAGGCAGAGTCCGACTGTGCAATAGGCATGTTCTTAGGCATTCAGGGGTGGACGGTGTGACAGACGGGTATTGAGGTAGATAGAAGTGGACAATGTGGTAGACGGGTATTGAAGTAGATAGAGGTGGACACATTGACAGTAAGAGAGCACACACCTTAACAGAAACAGGAAGCCGGTTGTCTTTGAAGGCTTGGAAGCAGAAGCTTCGGGGCTGCTGAGTTGCCTTCCTCATGGGCATCAGGTTCCCAGTGCACTCCAGGTGCAGTGGCATACCCTCCATCACCTGCAGGGGGAGACAATGAGTCAGCACAAAGAAACTGCTCCTTTCAGCTTCTTTACAATGGAAACACCATGGCTGTGGTTTCTATGGAGCCCCTCTGGTGACATAGGAGAAAAAAAAAATTGCGTGGCCACGAGATAATTAAGTGGTGGCCATGAATTAATAACACGTGGCCATGAGATAATTAAGTGGTGGCCATGAATTAATAACACGTGGCCATGAGATAATTAAGTGGTGGCCATGAATTAATAACGCGTGGCCACGAGATTTCCAAATGCCTGGAAACACATGGACAACTTCGAGAGTGGATAAAAGTAAGTATAATTTATAAAGAATTTTTTTTTTTTTTAAATTGATAACATAATTGTGAGAAAACACATGTTAACATCCTAAAGGCGTCATCCACAAGTGCATCAGACCAGCGTACAACATCCCGGAAATCTAACTCGTTCCCGCGCTTTAAGAAAGACATGGCCGCTACTTAACTATCTCATGGCCACACAATATATATATTTTTCTCCTGGGTCACCATACTGGTTCCGTAGGTTTCAGTCATGCTCTCTGCTTCAAGTTTATTGTACCCTAGACTGTGCTTCTTCTCAGATCTGTACTTCAGACCTGTCACATTCTGCCCTGTGCTTCAGGCTTGTTGTACTCTGCCCTCTGCTTCAGTCCTGTTGCACTCTGATCTGTGCTTCAGACCTGTCACACTCTAATCTGCTTCAAACTCTGCCCTGTGAATCAGGCTTGTATACTCTGCCCTCTGCTTCAGATCTGTTGCACTCTGATCTGTGCTTCAGACCTGTCACACTCTAATCTGCTTCAAACTCCGCCCTGTGAATCAGGCTTGTATACTCTGCCCTCTGCTTCAGACCTGTTGCACTCTGATCTGTGCTTCAGGCTGGTTTCACCTTTTATTTTTTGTGGAGTTTTGTCTTGATTCTGGAACAAGTACATATGATAAGTTGGTAATGCTTTATGTTAACCGCACCTTCATAATACCTTTAGAATGTACTGGGAGAAATTAAGGTCACCTTTATAATGCATTCATAAAAGATTCATAAGCAGGATTTAAGTATACCTTAACATGTCCTAAAGCATACATTAATAACAATCTTATATAATTATACAATTACAATATTTGTTATTAATGTAAATTACAGCTGTCTTCTTGCTCATTTTAAGTATTATGAAAATAATGCTTAAAGACGTTATGGTATACTAACATGCTGCTTATGATTGTTCTATGAAAGCCTTAAAAATGCATTATGAAGGTCCTCTGAATATTCAATCAATGCATTATGAAGATGCAGCTAATGTCAAGCGTTACCAATAAGTTTACACATCTCAAATGCAAATTGTTTGAAAACCACAGTTAAGGCAGATCGTTAATTTAATAAATACAGTAGCTGTATGAATAACACATTTGGAAAAGGGCTGTATGTGCAGTTTATTCAATGTCAGCACCCCCCAACTGACCTCGACGTCACGACTGCGGGCCACCTCGGTGAAGTTCTCGTGCTGCTCCAGGGTTTTGTCCATCTTGTCGTCTGTCAGACAGTAGCATCGCAAACGACCCTCCCGCGCCTCATTCATCTTGGCGAACACCACAAATTTAGCCATGTAGGGAACCGCCGTCAGCTCACGGTACAGCAGGTTGCCAAAGGACACGACCTCTGCGGTGCGGGGGCAGTCTGCCAGCCAGAACCTGGGGTCAGGGGTCAGGCACAGGGGAGTCAGTCTGTGTGTGTCAGTCTGTGAGGTGTCAGTCCAAGTATAACAGTCTTTATGTTAGTCTGTGCATGTGAATGTGTGTGTGACAATCTTTATGTCAGTCTGTATGTGTCAGTCTGCATGAGCAAGTCTGTGAGTGTCAGACTGTGGGTCGAAACATAGGATGGCCAGAACAAAATCATGCTTAACTAGATATCCTATGGACCTGGCCAAGTACCAATCACTTCTATCATTGTTTTCTGTTTCTATTTTTGCCACCAAATCCACCTACTACTAGGACACGACCACTGCCACCACAGACACGCGCAAGTTATTCTTCACTTTCAACGTCCTCCTTAACTCTTCTCCTCACCCACCACCCAGATGAATGAGTTGACCCTGCTGTTGCTTTTGCCATGTTCTTCCATGAGAAGCTACCAGATATTGACAGCTAGTTCCCCCTATCCTCCACCTGCATGCACCCCCACATGCATGGGCCTTCTTTTCACTCTTTCACCCCCCTCACCAGCCCAGATGCTATTAACCTACTCGCTCCCCGACCTACGACCTTTCCCCTGGACTCTATCCTCTCCCATCTCCTCCAGACCGTCTCTCCCACACTAACCCCTGCACTGACTCACCTAATTAACTCATCTCTTACAACTGGCACATTCCCTGCCGCATTTAAGCATAAATCTGGATCATAAAAAAAACCTCACTTGACCCGTCACGGATTGAGAATTATTGGCCAGTCTCTTTCCTCTTATTCATGTCCAAAACTCTTGAACGTACTCTCCTCAGTAAAGTCTCTGAATTTCTCATAAAGAACAACCTCCTGGACCCTCTTCAGTTTGGCTTCAAACCTGGACACTTGACCAAGACCAACCTCCTTGCTGTTGTGGACACTCTGACGGCCGCAGGAGCTGCATCCTGGTCGTCTGTCCTGATCCTGCTAGACCTCTCTTTGGCTTTCAACACAGTTAATCACCAAATACTCCTGATCACCCTCTCTCAAGTTGGCATCACAGGGACTGCTCTGCACTGGTTTCACTCATACTTATAAGACAGATCATTCCAAGTGACTTGGGGTGCAGAGGTGTCCAAATCACATGAGGGTAACAATCAGTGTCCCACACAAATTGGTCCCCTCCTCTTCACTCTTTACATTACCTCTCTGGATCAGATCATCCAGTCACATGACTTCTCCTACCACTACTCAGCCAATGACATCTAGTTATGCCTGACCTTTCCTCCTGACAATGGGTGCGTTTGACTTCATGCAGCCGCTTACAGCGCTGGCTTAAAGCAATGCATTCTAGTCCTGACGCAATGCATCATGGTTCGATTTTTTTGGCTTTGCCCTTATTGGCTGAAGAGTTTAGTTACACGCATGACGTTTGTATCCCAGGAAGTTATCTGCTATTTCTCCTGAAAAGCACATAAAGCAGTGAGAATTGGTTTTCAGTTAATTTACCTTGTAAAATAAAGTTTAAATGATGGTTTATTTATTGTTAGTTACTGTAATGTTGCGCTGCTTTATTTGTTTAATCATTATCCTTCTGGCAGTGCTGCCATTGCAGTCAGGTCTCACACACTACTTGGAGCAGTAGAAGTTGTCCGACTTGGCTGCAGTTAGTTTATACTCCACCCCTGCAGCCGCCGGCAGATCGCGCTCCACGTCATGTCAGCTGCAGACAGACCTAAGCCCAAGTCGAACGCACCCAATACCATGATCTTCACTCAGGTCTCTGCATGCCAGGCTGACATTGCAACCTGGATGAGGAGCTTTCACCTCCAGTTACATCTCTCTAAGACTGAGCTTCTTGTCTTCCCTGCCAGCCCTACCATGCACCATGACTTCACTGATCAGCTTGGATCATCCACACTGTCTCCATCAAGGTCCGCCAGGAACCTAGGGGTAATGATAGATGACTGTAAAGTTGCTAAAATTATGATCCAGCACAACAAAATGAGGCTTGAGTTCTTTATTACAAGCTACTCCCGCGAGCCAGGAGTGCCCCCTCCTGGACCAAATGAAACACTATCAACTCACAACAAAAGCATTATAAGAAACAATCATTACAACGACCAGCTGTCCTTTGCTGGCACATAACAGTACTGTCCTGATGTTTCAGATTCACCCTGTATAACATTAGGAAGATCAAGCCTGTTCTGTCTAAGTATGCAGCTCAGCTTCTGGCCAAGGAACTCTTTACATCATGACTAGGCTACTGCAACTCTCTACTTTCGAGCTTGTGCTGTCAGACAACTGCAGATAATTCAAAATCCGACAGCTGGTCTGGCATTCAATCACCCTAAATGCCCTCATGTAACACCCCTCCTTGTCTATTTCCATTGTCAATAATCCTCTTCATGATCGCATCAAGTTCAAATCCACGGTTCTGGCCAACGTATCTATTAATGGACAGGCACCCATCTCCATCAAGATGCTCCTTAAGACCCGCTTCACATCTTGCCCTGTTCGATCCGCAAGCCAATACCATTTGGAGTTCCTTTCACCACATGAGAAGTGTCACTCCAGGTGTTTCTCGTGTGGTCCCTCGATGGTAGAATGTGTTGCCTCACCGCATCCGGTCCTCAGAGTTCCTCTCCACCTTCAAGAAATGCCTCAAGACCTGTCTGTTCCAGGAATTCCTCTACTAGTCTGATGCCTCTCTCTCTTCCCTAAACGTTCTTAATGTTGCACTTCTGGTCACTGAACAGTCTTATCAGTTCCTGCTTTGTTAGAAGAAGCTGTGTAGTTCTAGGTCTTATACCACGTACATTTCTAACTGAACATTCACTGAAAGCTCAGTCTAGCTGCACAACTTATTGACAGAACAGTTGTTTGTAATGTGTTATTTGCCTCACTTGCTAGTCACTTCGGATAAAACCATCTGCTAAATAAATGATAAATGCATACAGTATGTCATTCTGTGTGACAGAATATGTGTCAGTCTATGTTTCAGTTTGTGAGTGTCAGTCTGTGTGTGAGAGTCCATGTATGTTAGTCTACGTGGTTAGTGTGGTGCCATTTCCATGGGCAGGTGACAGTGACTTTGCTGTCCCATCTCAGAGACGCTGAACCTGCAGGTACCCACAGGTATGCCTTCTGTGCATGGCGCCGTGCCACTAACCGTGCAGAGACGTTGGTGGTGAAGTTGGCACAGTTACCGCAGCACATCAGCTTGGTGGTGCCGGTGATGTCCTCCCACTGCGCTGAGGACGTACCACCTGTGGGCAAGGAGGCGAGCATGACTCAGCATGCTGCGATGCTATCCCCCCCGTGGCTAAGGGGCGTTTTGGCACATCCCTCCATACCAATGACACTGCAGAGCAGACGCAGGCTGTTGGTGTCCCCCTCCCCCATGTCACGTGGACTCTCCCGCCAGGAGGGGGGCAGTGGGATGCGAAGGGCGATGGGACGGTGAAATTTACGTCTGCGTGGCTCCACTGTCACGACAGGGCTGAAGGTCGCTTGGTTGCCCAGCAGTTTGGTGACCAGCTCATCTGGGACTGGCTGAGCCTGGAGGGAGCACAGTGAGAGCCATGGTGAATCGCACACTGAGTGAAACACACACACATCCAGACATGAGCAAACACACACACACACACACAGATCCAGACATGAGCATACACACACACACACACACACACATCCAGACATGAGCAAACACACACACACACATACACATCCAGACATGGGCAAACACGCACACACACACACATACACCAGACAAGGTCAGTTACACGCAGTGTCAAACACACACACAGCCAGACATGGTCAAGCACACACAGAGTAAAACACAAACACACACAAAGGTTTGTAATTATATCTCTGTGGGGACTCTTCATTCATTTCTACGGGGAAAACTCTAATCACAACATGACGACCTTAACCCCTACCCAGCCCTAACCTTAACTATAAGTAATCAAACTAAATACGAGACTTTTAGGATTTTTAGTTTTTTGACTGCATTCACAGATCTTTCTGGGGACCTGAAAATGGTCACCACAATGTCAAAATAACAGGATTTTATCATATTGTGGGGAACATTTGGTCCCAGCAATGTAATGTAAACATAATCCATACATCCAGACATGGTCAAACAACACAGAGTCAAAAACACACACAGCCAGACATGGTGAATCACACACACAGTCAAACAAACACAGGTCAATCACACACACAGAGAAATGCACACACACACAGACATGGTCAATCACAAATACACATACCCAGACATGGTTAAACACATGCACATCGAGACATTATGAAACACACATATAGACACACACACACACATACTCAGACATGGGCGAATATACATAGAGTCAAGAAAATAAATACAGTCATGGTCAATCACACAGGGATTCAAACACAATCACATTCAAACACTGAAACACACTCGCTCGCCGAAAGAAACACATACTCACAGAATGAAACATGCACACAGACACACAGATCCATGAGTCATATGAAGTTTTAAAGTGTTTTTAATGAACATCTAAAAAGTTTTAAATGTTTAAAATTGTTTTTACAATGTGAAAAAAATTCCCCACATGCAGTGCCATCCAGTGTTAGACATTGTTCTCCTAAGGAAAGAAAAATAATACAGTAAAAAACACAGACAATGACAGCAATATTTTTAAGTGAAAAAATACAGAACAGAATAGTGAGATGGCAGCACTAAAAACAACAGAAAAGTGGCAGACAGCATCTTCCTGAACTGGACTCATGTTACGGTTAAAATGGAACCATTACTGTTATCCAGGACGGCACAAGAAGATCAAATCAGAGGGGGAAACACTCACACACACATACACAGCTCTCTCTCACACACACACACACACAGCTCTCACACACACACACACATGCGCAGACACACACAGCTCTCCCACACACACACATGTACACAGACACACACAGCTTCTCACACACACATGTACACAGACACACACACACACACTCATGTACAGACACACACA